TAATAATATAATTTTAGTCACAGTCGCGCAACGCAATTCATTTACGCGATCAATGTATAATAACCATAATATTATATATCAAAATAAAACACGTTGTGTTTAACAGCTTAAACGCAAGTGGCCGTCGAGATCTCGTTGAGCGCGAGAACGCCACGAGACTTGTTTTTGTTACCCAAATTGTATTACATTCTTCCCCGTCATCGCGTCCACTTTCTACCTGATCTATATAACCATTGTATTTGAAACAGTGGCCGCGATGACATACATGAAATAAACATTTGAGGGCCCAAAACATGCCTCGTACTCCCCCCCCCCCATTCGTAGAATCTCGGCCGCCATTTTCGTCTACGGTATACTTAGTATTTGGAGAACACTGGGGTTGTCGTCGTTCTTATATGATTGCTCATTTCACACGATGTATATTTCCCGTAAATAGCTTCTTCTAGCTTTGTAGTGTTTTTGTTTGTTAACATCATATAGAATACTCGCCATTCAAATTGTTTACTCGTGGCGGGTTTCTGATTACGTCTGGTATAATCAACACTTTGATACGAAGTGCGATTTATGTGTGTACGTACGCACCAAATACCATGATCTCTCCGGCCCCACGTGTTGCACAAATCCAAGATAATATACAGAATATGTAAGTTAGTAAATGTTTACATTTATATTATATATTAGATAATATTATAAACTAATATATCTTAGGAAGTATACGGCAAACAACTTGCAAATCACCTATGCCAAATGCTGGAAAACGTATTAGATAACAGTGACTATTAAATGTACAGTAACAGTAAATTACACTGTAATAAAGTGTACAGAAAAGAGATCGATTAGTCTTATTACATGCATCGCCACACTGTTATGGGATACATTACATTTTGTTTTTTAATATCTTACTTTTGTTGCTATAAACTGATGGAAACACTGTATTTCTAAGGATGCAATAAATTATCTTTATTATTATTATGTATGAGATATGTAAAACTTCTATCTTATAAGTCGCGCCCTCTTTTTTTAAAAGTTTTTTCGCATTTCTAAATATATTTCCTTGTAATCAAGTTTGATACCATTGTTGAGCTAATATCATAATGATGCAAGCCTGCCTTAACCAAAAAATGCCCCGAATAAACCATGACGTCACCTCTACTTTTCCATACTAAATGTCAACATTGACTGCATATACTAGTACCTCACAATTACACTGTGGCATCGGGTGGGCTAGTTTTGCGCTAGAATCAAGTTGTGTTGTGGAGATTTTAGAGCACATTAGATATTTCAAGGTGAGAGTTCCTTGGGGCCCCCTTACCCCGTAACTCTAATTCAAATCCTGTCCCTCCCTTAACCCCCTCATTTCAATTGTATATACCCCTCTCCGGGTCACGTGTGGTTATTTGGAGGGGCATATTGAATCACATTTTGCTGGGGTGTTAGGCTTAGGGTTTAGGTCAGGGGTGAAGGGACCTTAAGAAACTGTTTCCCTTACCTCTGTTCAGATGCGCAATTACAGGGGTGATCGTTTACCAAATTATATTCACTTTGGTCGCTGCGGGCGAACACAATGTCTCACAGCAAACGATATCTCCGACAATGCTACACGTGATGTGTACATAGTCAGCACTGACGTAAGATTCGGCCATAGGAATGTGATAATAATAATAATAATAATACTATTTATATAGTTTATATAGCGCCTGATATTCATCAAATGATGCCCAATGACGCTCACACTTCACATAAATGCTTGATGAAATAGGATTTATAACCTGGATTTTAATGTGTGAACATTTGGTGCTGTACGAATGTCATTTGGTAGATGATTCTATAGTAATAGTAATTTTCCATCAAAGTAAAAAAGGAAAATGGTCTTATAATGCATCACACCATTTCCTACCTGTTGCTGTTTCACAATCTCCCAGCTTATGAGATCCTGACTTGGCATGCACAACACAAATACAATATGATAAGCAAATCAATAGAATCAACAACACCAACACTTTCTCTCAGACAGATACAAAAAAAAAACAAGTTGCAAATCTAACCTTGGAAGCAGCAGATCTCTTTGAGCTCTACTCGAAACCAATAGATTGGTGTATGTGACAGGAATCTCTGTGAAACAGCACTATCAAGAGATGCAACGTCAGAAAAGTCGGAACAATCTTATACATTACCTCTTTTTTCATTATTGAAGGTGGTCTTCAGAAAACAATGTCACTCAATACAATGCCCAGGGTAGCTCTATGATAAAGAGTCCAGGACAGACTTCCCTATTATTGTCTTTACAGATATACACCCATGGCTGTGTAAACGGGTTGACTACAAGCCCAGAACTGTTCTCCTTAATGATCCCCATTCATGCTTGCAAGCTCCTCCTCCTCAGATTGCAGTTTGGTTTTTTAGACAAAACTCTTAGAAATCTGCGCACTTCATCCCAACCCCACCCTGTTTGTATTCAAACCACTGACAGTATTACACAATGTCAACCAAGTCCCTTTTCTTGTATCACACGAATTAACTGACATTCTATACTGCGACCCATAAAGAAAGGAAAACCCCTTTTGTACAATGCGAGCAACATCAAAAAGGCCATCAGAACCAGTATGGTAAAGCATGCATCATATGCTGCAATTTTTATCAACTGATCAAGCACAAACAGTACTCTTCTTGTCATTATCATTTTGTGACAATCTGATGACATTTATTGCTGACACAGTCGCCTTGTGGACCAATCACTAGAGTACTCCAGAAGCAAAGAATCAGAGGTCACACCAACAAGCCGTGCTCATCTACATCCCCATTCTTAGTGTATGTCCAGTTGTCAATCATTATGTTTTTGTCTTTGATGTAGCAATCGATCAACCATTGAACAGAATAGGAGATTCTGCAGTTGTAATGGGGAGGGGAGGGGGGGGAGGGCTTCAAAGACAATCATTTTTCAGTTCACAGCAATGAAAAATAATCATTTTTCAGTTCACAGCAATGAAAAATACAAAAACAAAACAGGAAATAGTAAACCCTCATTTATTTCAGGTACTCAAAAAAAAATTATAATAAAAACAAAGAGATAAAAGATGAGCTAAATCTCGACACAAGAGTGCAGCTATATAAAAATGCAATTCTCCAAAAAGAAAATCTATGGTGCTGAAATTCACCAGGACATGGCTCTTACAAGTATTGCACATCACAAATAAAAAAAAAGACAATTAATACAGTAAAAAATACAACTTCTACTACTTTAAGACTACTTTTGTTCCAGAAACATAAAAGCGATAATCAGCAGCCATTTCATACAGGACGCCCTCTGTGTTTAATTTCTCTTAATAGTTGACTGAGGGCGCTCCATACGTCAAATGGTGTACAATGTGCACATTGGAATATATAATACATCACGATATTAGTTGCCACGGGACAAATAAACTGTTCTATAGTGACATATAATATTTCACTCAACTAGTGTACAATTTTTTCATGTAAAAACACCTCTACACGCTGAAAAGTTCTGTGAAAAAAAAAACTTCGTATAGTATCCAGCGAAGACAGATGTTGGTGAAAATGTTTTTTATTCTGTGAATATAGACAGCATGCATAGATGTAGGTATATTCAATGGAAATGATAAAATTGAAAAAAAAAAAAATTATATTTCACATTTGTTATTAAATAATTATAAATTGTTAATAAATACACAAATTTTGATTACATTTTGAAATTGGTTCGTCTTGGCATGATACTCTCGCTGTAAATGGCCAATAAAGAAATTGCAGTGAGAAAATAAGCATATACATATAAATATATACATAGACATGAAGTTCCAATAAACGAATTAAACAGACAGAGGGACATGGTAGGGAATCACGTCTGCAATTTTAAAAATAAAAATAACCGGGAATTAAGACCTAAGCACAGTCTTCTTGAGCAAAACAGACGTTTGAAAATTTAAAAAAAAATACAAGTGACATTTAGCCTTCGTAATGTTGTTAGAACGGACCAGATAGAGAGAGACAGGAACACAAAAGATATACTTGATACGAAAACACATCTATCTAACTTTCATTTTGCAAGGGCTGAAATACT